AAGAAGTACATAATTTATTTCACAGAGTTTAATTTTATTATTTTAAAAATTATGAAAACTATTTTCGTATATAATATTATGGTCAGTTTTATTAATTTTAAAAATAATCATAAGATTCTATCATTTATTTATGTACGCAACCTTAAGAAGTCAAAATTAAACATATGAATAATGGCAGATTATGAATTATTATTAAAATTAATAAAATTAAAACATAATAAATTATATATATCCAAATAGTTTTCATCAGACGATGATCAGAATAGTCAGGCCAATTTCTTATACTCTTTCAGACTTTTGTACGAACTTCGGAAGAATGTTGAACATTTTATTAAACATTTATCCGACACCTATCGGACTTTGTTATATTTGATCAGACTTTTGTACGAACTGTCAAAAGAATGTCAGACATGGTATCCGACATTTGTCCGACTTCAATCAGATTTGTCGAAAATTCCTTCAGAATTTCCCCAGGAATTTACATCAGATTTCGTACCGAATTCTGGCCGACAACACTGCACATTTTTTTTATGTGTTATTACTTGGATTGAGTGAATGAAAATATTAGTTAATTAATTTTTTTCAAATGATATTTCATCTTAAAACATATTATAAACACGTCTTTTTGTAATTTTTTTCTGCACTAATGGAAAAAAAGTATGTGAAATACTTTTTTCATTTTCAATACGAAAATTTACAACTTTTCTTTTATCAGTTTTAATTAAAATGAAATGTCAAAGAATAAAAAATATTTTTTTTTTTTTTTTCATTTGTAAAATATAAATTATTTTCGGAGTTTTAAAGTGTGGCAAAAATAATAAATATTAACTTTAAGTGATAAGAAAAACTATTAAGTGCTAATATCCTCGCAATTTCGCGAGGATATAAAAGAAAATATCAGAAAATGTGCAGACTATTCTGTTAAATATCTATAGGAAATTTATATGATTCGGTAAATTGTCTGATAAAGTTACAAAAGCAATTCACTTCAGATATTGTGCAGATTTATCGGATATAATTTCGTAAGCCATTTTACTTCAGAAAATGTACGGACTATTCTCCTTTATGTCTAAAGAAGAATAAAGGAATAAAAAAACAAAATGTCCTCCGCTAATTTGCAGAGTTGTCTCATAATTGTCGTAACACTGAAATTCCGTTTCGACAATATGCAAACGAGTCTGATGTTAATTGATTAATACTTCAAAAAATGTGCAGAAAAGTCCTACAAAAAGTTTGTCGATTATTCCGTAAAAAGTCTAAGGGAAATTTGGACATTCGTTAAAAATTCTGATAAAGTATAAGAATTATTTCAGAGAATTTCTCACATCGGACATGTCTGAAAAAATTTTTTACTGGGTGCTTTCATCATTTTGGTTGCTTTTAGATAATTGAAAAATTTTTATTTTTATGTTTAAAACATATACCGGCTTATAGAGAGGCAGATGAAAAATATCACCACTTCACACACACTATTGGTATTTTTTCAATGAAATTGCACTGAAAAAAATATTAGGCTATTTTCAATTTTAAAGATTACTGTAAAATGGGAATATTTATAAACAAAATGTAATCAATGAACATAAGAATGATAATAAACATAAAACAAGATAAACTTATTTACTTTCATTGTTATGCATTCTAGAAAGTTATTTAGGGTGTACGTTTGCAATTTCTGAAACAAAGCGACATATAGTAGGTATATAGGCGAAACCGAAGAGGTCACACAGAAGAATAAAACACACTAGAGAGAACTAAACGCACTTACAAAACTTCCAATTTTCTTCGCGAAATTGCGAGGATATTAGCACTTAAAAGTTTTTCTTATCACTTAAATTTAACATTTATCATTTTTTGCCACACTTTTAATGTGTTTAAACCCCCAAAAATAATTTATATTTTACAAACGAAAAAAAAGTTGTAAATTTTCGAATTGAAAATGAAAAAAGTATTTCACATACTTTTTTTCTTTTTCCATTAGTGCATGAAATATCTTTTGAAAAAAATTAATTAACTAATATTTTCATTCACTAGTAGATGAAATTCTAGTAATAACACACAAAAATACATTTATTATTTAGTACCTTTTGAAAAACTGTGTTTATTTTTGTGCTTCATTCTCACCAGTAAGGTTTTTGACAGGGTTTTTGACAATCCCTATCGCCTATATGCAAAGCGAAAATCTTCGTATTCAGAACAATACTAGCGCCGATATATGGTCGAAAACAACTTTGAAGAACAATTTAAAAATGTTAAATTTCTTTAAATAAAAAACTGTTCTATAAAAAAATAAATTTTACCGACATTTTCTATAAAAACTTAAATTTAGTTCCATTCCAGTTCTGTTCTAGTTTTGTTCTAGTTTTGTTCTACTTTTGTTCAAGTTCTAGGTCATTTAAATATATATTTTTTTTATTTAAAAAAATATAAAAAATTTATATTACAATAGAAAATTTGTAAAAAATTATCAAAAATTTTCCATTAAATTTTTCACTAAAATAGAAAATTCATCAAAAATTTTCTAATGAGTAGAAAATTCATGTAAAATTTTCTATTAAAATAGAAAATTTATCAAAAAGTTTCCAATAAAATAGAAAAAATATTAAAAATTTTCTATGAAAATAAGAAATTTATCAATTATTTTCAATTAAAAAAATTTATCAAAAATTTTTGAAAAATTTTCTATTAAAATGAAAAATGTATCAAAAAATTTCTATTAAAATTGAAAATTCATCAAAATCGCATTGAAATAGAAAATTTATCAAAATGATTTTTTGATAAATAGAAAATTTGTAAAAAATTTTCAACTGAAATATAAAATTTATAAAAAATTTTTTAAAATAGAAAATTTATAAAAATGTTTTATTAAAATACTTCTATTTAAATAAAATGTTCTATTTAAATAAAAAAAATTATTAAAAATTTTTAATAAAAATAGAAAATGTATAAAAAATTTTCTATTAAAATCATTTTTTTTATTAAAATAGATAAATTAATAAAAAATTTTTATTAAAATAGAAAATTTATCAAAAAAGTAAAATATTAAAATATAAAATTTGTCAAAATTTTTTTATTAAAATGGAAGATTATCGATTTTTTAATTAAAATAGAAAAATTTTTAAAAATTAAAATAATGAAATTAAAAATTTTTATTTTCAAATATATGATAAAAAAGAAAAATTTCTACTACAATAAATATCAAAAACTATTTTGATTTTCAATGTTTTACTTGACAAATTTTCAACAGTTTTATATTAATATGTATTTGTTTATACATAGAAAATTTTCACAAAATTTATATGAGTGTGCTTTTGAATATAAACACTGCAAAAATTGAAACTACTCCGCACACGCGTATAAAGAGTACTCCTCAAAACTACTACCTTGCTAAAATTATGGAGAATATGATCCATGCCTGTATTACATTAGCCTACTTAACGGATAATGTACTCCAATCATGTTTACAGGGGAGTAGTTTTGGTATTACTTTAATGGCTCATGTACTCCTTTAATTTTTGCAGGGTAATTCATATATTTGTTGTTTAATATATTTATTTATCTGATGAAAAAAGTTGAAAATAATTTTAAACTTTACTGAAAAATAAAAAACAAAAATATCTTGATTGATAAATATATTTTTTTTAAACAGAAATGTTTGTTTTTAAAGCAAGGCATACACGATACAACCGATAATAAAATGTGAGAAGGTTGTTTACGGAATTGCAAAGTATGAATTGTTGTTATAAGAAGTTGTGAGTTGGTTGTACGAAAGATCGAAATGTTTTTATATTTTTGCAAGTTCTACAAACGGGTCGCAACGTAAAAATGCTTGTCTTACAACATTATTCTATTTTACTCTTCATTTTGTGGTGACCGCAGATCAAGTAAAATCGTGTGTGCGTAAAAAACAATTAAAAAATTAAAAATTCAGCTGAAATGCGTAATTTTACTTTATAAAATTAATAAAAATATTATTTATTATAAAAAATAAGAAAAATTTACAATTAAATTGCAATTTACGCAATTTACCACTTTCACTCAAAAATTATTTTTACAAAATAAAGTTGTATTAAAATATTATTTTTAAAGAATTAAAATACGTTTCTTGAATTTAAACATGAATTCTGTAAAATAATGAAAAAGTAATATTGTTTTCATAATTAATTAAGATTAAAATTAATATTGTTAACTAAATTTAAGGAAGAATTTTGGATATACAGAAGCAAAAGCTGGAAAAGTAAATGGGCATAAACATGGAATTTTCAAGGGGAGAATTTAGTGGGATAATTTTTTGAACACTTTTAATTTGATTTCTATAGTTGTAGTTTATTTAATCTTCGTTTATTAATGTGTTTGGCAATTTTGCTTTTTTTCTTTGTTTTTGATATCTGTTTTATTAGAAATTTCCGATAAAAATGTAATTCGTTTTGTCTCTTCTCAGTTTAAGTTTCACAAACACTTTTTACTCACAAATTGAGAAGCAATGGAATTTTTGTTTTACACTTCTCGATGTCAGAACTTCTCACTAAAAGTTGCAGAAACAGGGTTCAGGAGTTATTAACTAAAACGTATTTTAAAACAAGTTTCTTGTACAAAATTGTATGAAAAATTAAACAAACAAAAATAATACACAGTGGAAATTTCAAAATATATTAAATATGGGGAATTTCGTGTCAAGTGATTCGATTTGCACCAAGGTTAGTACTATGGGATAGTAGGCCAGACACAAATTTTCAGCTCTTTCGATCAAGAACTGCCGGAGTCAGATGGGGTCAAAATTGGACATTTTGGTCATACAGGGTTTTATTCTAATGAGTGTAACTTTTCACCTATTGGCCCTAGCAAAAATTGTCCATAGGAATTCATTGTTTGCAAAACTTTTTTTTTATTTTTTTAATGTTTTTTTCAAAATGGGCTTTTTTTACTTAATAGAAAGAAAGAAGTAGTTAATTTAATATTGATTATTTAGAATTTTATGATTGTTTTATATATTTTTGTTACAGATGCGGCACCAGATATAACTCAGTTCAACAATACTCGTCGAGCTGCGGATAGGGTTACTCGATATGTCAATATTTCTCAAACAGATGTTAATGAAGACAGCAATGGAAAATGGAAAGTTTCTGCTAAAATTCAACAATTGCTCAATACACTTAAACGTCCTAAACGACGTCCACTTCCCGAATTTTATGAAGACAACGATATCGAACTTGAAATTGCAGCAAACCCTAAAGATCCGAATGCTCCAAAACCTGAAGGAAGTACTATGAGTTCTGTACAAGGTGAACAATTATCAGTATCAGCAAGTTTGCCTCGTTCTCTAGAGGCAGCTGTCCAACGCTTTGGCATAAATTCTTTTAAGTCTCCTATGGCTACAGTTGTCGATCCCAATGGAAAGATAACGACTACTTTAACGTATGGTAAACTTTTATCCAGAGCACAAAAAATCGCATATGCATTATCTACGAAAATATTCAGTAAAGGTCCCGAACAAGTGACTTTAAAACCTGGTGACAGGGTAGCTTTAGTTTATCCTAATAATGATCCATTAAGGTAAATATAAACGATGTTATGTTATGAAAATATTAAGATTTAATTCCAATACCCTAAATAGCAATCAAGTTAGGCTACCGATGAGGTAAACGTAAAGCAAATTTTATTTCTATTCCTATGTTTTCATAAATTTATCACACCACCTAACAGAACGTGCGCGACGTGGTCCAAAATCTCAATCTAGCCGGAAAAGAGTAATTTTTTAAATATTTGGAAAGCACATTATTTGTTTTGTAATAAGTTGACAAGTGTTCATAACACATAATGGCACATTTTGTTTTCTTTGAATTAGAGTGACCACAAAATAGTCGATGTCGAATAAAAGTTTGAAAAAATTCAAATTTTTGGCCATAAATCTAATATATGAAGCTATAACTCAAGAACGGAAGAAAATAGAAATAAGCTTATTATCTCAAAACAAAGCAAATATTGTTCTTCAAAATTCATATTATAGTCAAACTCGTTTATAACGAACTCCGCGGGACCAGTCAAATTTGTTCGTTATAAGCGAAGTTCATAATAAGACAGGTGAAGTTTTTGTAGTTTCAAAAATAAAGTGGCATTTTACGAAATTTTAAGAATATGATTTATAATATTCTTTACAAAAAAACACCACTGATTTTATTTGTTCATATTTTTCTTAACAAATTTAAGTTTTTTTTTCAACAAAGCAAAATATATTCTTATGATTTCAACACATAATTTTGAAGTTCGTTATAAAAAAGGAAAATTGTATGAAATTGTACTTGAGGGACTGAAAAAGTAGTTTGTTTTATACGAGGATTCGTAATAACCGAGTTCATTGTAAGAGATGTTGTTTGTATAAAAATAGTTACCAAAATAGCGGGACTTGAAAACTTGTTCGTAATAACCGAGAATTCGTTATAACCGAGTTCGTTATAAGTTTGACTGTATATACAAAAATCTGTTTACTTTAAGTCAAACAGAGTTACAACAGCTTTTGTCCCCAAAACGTATAGATTGTATATTTTGATATTATGTGATAAATGTTGCTATTAAGAAAATATAAAAAGATAACATGAACCTGTTCTCAGCTATGATAAAAAATATATTTTTTACACGATACTTTCAAAACTTTGTTAAACAAATTTAAAGATTTTTGAAATATTAATAGATTAGGGAATAAAACGGTGAAAAAATAAGGTTAATACCTCTTATAGGCTAGCTGTATCAGCGATTTGAATTCTGTGAAGTTCGCAAAAGACTCTTTTTTTGTAATATTTTAGAAAATATGTCCTAATTCTTTACTGTTATACATTTTAAACAAAATATTTACAGAATATTATTTCTCAGACAATATTATATATGTCTCTGAAGTTATATATAAATCGGGAAATCTAAGGCGTAAACATTGGAGGTCAAATGTCAAATTTTGCAATATTTGGAAATTCTCATTGAAACATATCAAAATATTATTTATTTGTTTACATATTAGCTAAAATCACAGGAATTTTTAGCATATGGTCCGATATTTAAATAGCTGCCGATTTTTGCCCAAACAATATTTATTTAAGTTACGGCCTTATGCATAATAAAAAAAAATAACTGCTGACTAACAAGCTGCTAACTTTTGCTTACGGGAATTTACACACACAAAAGTTAGCAGCAAGATAGTTAGCAGCTCGTTTTTCATTATACATAAGGCCGTTAGAGTTACAAGCCGCGATCGGCAGATATATACTACCACATTTTGCACTTGTATAAGTGTAAGAGCGAAAAAACAAGAAATGAGAAATTGTTGTACTCTCATCTTCACAACAAGGCATGCATGAAATTTAGAAATAATATTAATCTAAAACAAAACTAATATTTTTTTAGTTTAAAAGTAGGAAATATTTTTTGGGCTTATTTGCACATATTTGTTTTAAATATTGAAATAGAAATATGAGCTTTTTAACTAAGTTTTTAATAAAATATATTCCTATTAAGGGAAAAGATTTAACATAATTGCATATATATTTTGGGAAATTATTGTAATTTGCTACTTAAGTTGTACGAAAAAACATTTAAAAAAGTTTATAATTTTAAAAACTACTTAATATGTAGTGTAGATGCTAAAAAAGTACAACAATAATTAGAATTATCTATCCCTGCATTAATATATTTTCAGGTTGACGATAAACAATAATTTTTCCATATTCTTATAAAAGTGAAAATAATGAATACATGTATTTATTTGATAGATTTGTTGCATTTCACCTTGCCGGTAACCGGTAAAACTATTTTTTCAAAATGTAAAAAATCGAATATCCCGAAACCCTATTTTTGAAAATAGTTAAAGAATCGAATTTTCTAGGATTGTTTTTATTAATTATTATCATTTCCATTGGAATTTAATTTCATCCAGGATGTAATTTTCTAAAATTATATCTTTTTCTAAAAAGATAAAGAATACCACTAAAATAGGGATATAAATTTTTTTATAATAACCACTATTTTTAGTACTGACAATACCAAAATATTTTTAAAATTATCATTTTTACCAGAGATATATAAAAACAAATATATTTCCTCTTTGACGGCCTATTATTTTGCACAGCACTGTATGTACTTAAAAAAAAATAAAATTTTTTCCATTTATGTGTGTGTAAAATAAAAATTATCTTCTCATTTCCGAATGTGGGCATAAAAAAATAGAAGTTGCAATTTTCGTTTACGTCTATTTATTACGAATGTATCAATTTAAGTATTCGTACGAGAATATATCTGAATGCTGGTAACGTGTGTACATTTTGTTACATTGACTTTCATTTGTCCAGACATTTTTCCAATTCTGAAATGTGAGACTGGAGTTGTTCAGAAGCTATTGAAGGGTTTCATGTCCGCTTACAAAAGCAAATAAGCAAAAACCTATGAAATTATGTAAATATGTATTTGAAAACATACATATTTATTTAAATTTCATAGATAGCCTTTGAGAACAATTTTGAATTATGGCCTTCTCAAACAAAAAGGCTGTTAGACAGTAGAAAGTAATTTTCAAATGTATTTCAAAGTTAAAAAAGGTATACTTGAAACTGAAATTTTTTTCAAATGTTTTTCAAGCATTCTTTATTTTCATAAATTTTCAAACCCTAATTATAATGCTAATTATTGCAAAGTTCATATATTTTTTTACATCACCTGAAAATAAAACATAAATTCATTTTAGCAAAATTTTCTTTTATATCTATGATTATTTCTCCTATATTTAGCGTTTTTCGTTCCCTTTCTGTAGAAAAAAATTTCTGTTTTTATTTTTCTAAAATAATTTATTTTTTGAAACAAAATTTGTTAAGTTAAATTGCAACAAAACTTTGAAAATTTTATAAATGTCACACATAATGTTTTATTAAAGGTTTTTTTGAAATTATCATGTTTATTTCAAAGGCTACACTTTTTAATTTGAAAACAATTTGAAAAATACATTATTTAAAAATGTTCACAGGTTTGTTCAGAATTTGAATAGTCGGTATCGTCCGCAAATGTAGAAAACAACAAGTAAAATTTACTATAAGGATGTCTGGATGTACATATATATGTTATTACTTTGCATTTGTTTTTTTATTCATTGATTTTTCCCGTCAAATATACCAACAAAAATCCGCAAGCATGCCTGACCATTTTCCGTTGTATCTTATTCCTTTTTCCTTTCCGAAATTTTCATATGATACTGCACCAAGATTTTCAAGAAAAAGTGTGAGTCTAAAAAATGAAGTTTTAGTGACATATTTCATTTAAAATGTCGATATGCAGAGAGCAGTCCTTTCATTTTTTCTTTGTAATTTTCATCTTTTTGTTTTCCCCTAAAAATGATAAAATTCTACAAATGCGACACGAGCTCATCTTCTACTTCATTAAGCTTAATTCTAAATACTTCATCCTTCATAACATCTCGTATTTGTGGTTCTACCTTTGTAGGGCCTTTTTGTTAAGACTCCTTTCTAACTTTGGTACTTCTAGTGAAGATTTCCTTGATGATATGTACATCAAACTATTCGTAATTACGAGGCTTATTAAATCATATTTTTGAATTTTTTGAATATTTATAAACCCATAAATTTTCTTGGAAAAAATTAAATAAAAATTGTAATTTTGTAAAATACATATTTTTGTCATATAACTATTTTTTGGCCAATCATTCATGGAATAAATATGAAATATATTTCTGCTAGAAGTTTATCCAACTCTCATTGACATTATTGAACAAATATCTCATAAGCTTCACAAATATTATCCAAATTTAATAATTTGTTCAAAGTTTTGGAACTTTAAACGAACTGTCAGAATATTCGAATATTGTAAGTGTAATACTATAAAAAGTTTATTAAAAAAATATTAATTTAAAAAATTTTTAGATCTAAGTTTAGTCCTATAAGGGTTAAGCAAAATAGTGAATTACCAGGTACGTGATAGGCAAAAATCGAAATCAGGCGTAGATTCAGTGTGGCAATATCTTAAGTTCTATAATATATTTTTTAAATGAGGATTTTATTGCAGACCTGTGTTATTCGATATTGCTGTACTTTCTTCTGAAACCAAACGGATGGTCAGGAATAATGCAATTATCGTTAAGGCTTTTAAGCAATAACTTTTCAAAAAGTTTTGAGAATATAAACAACAGGCTAATAGGACGGTATGACGTTACATGAAAAATATCTTTCCCCGGTTTTGGTATCACAACGAGTCGTAGAGATACATATATCCAATACGTAACATGGAGTTAAAGATGAACAAAATGATTCTCAGTGCTGAATTTAGCAGGTTACTAATCATCGTGGTAGTAATTTTATATTACCTGGTGATTTTTCAGCCTTTAGACCTTTGATTGTCGTCTTCAGGGTAGAGAACCAGAATTTTATTGGGCCAAGTTATTGGCGAATGCTTAAATTTTTCTGACGTATTTCTTGCCCACTCACCATTCTGGGAATGTATGGGTGACTCGTATACAATAGGGCACTGCGTATTTTTTACAGCTTTCTAGAGACTATATTCTGTTT